ATTAACATTAGTGATAAATAAACAAACAACATTATTGAACATCGTCAAAGCTTTCAAGAGGCCTATCAAACAACTCCAAAATTTTCTTCTCAACTTCTGCATTTATCAGTGTCATATACTGTGAACATTCTTCCAATTGTTGAAATTTTCTGCACAAGATCTTCCCCTCTCCCACGTTGCTTGAGCTTGATTCATCGTCGTCATAGCTGTCAAAGCTTTCAAGGCGTCTATCGAACAGCTCGGCGATTTTCTTCACTGCTTCCGCATTTTTTGGCTTCATTAACTCTGCACATTCTTTCAATTGTTGGAGTTTTCTACACATGAACTTCCGATCAATTGGTTCCGGGTAACTCATATTTTTTGCCTTTATAATTTCGGACCGGAGAACAATTATTATACACAAACTAGTCACAGATTTTGTCATGGATTCATTCGTGACAAAATCAAATTTATTCCTCTGCTCGTGCATCCTTCCTGAGGCTCTGGCATTTTGGCTACCAAGGCCTTTGTCACAGACAATGGATCCTTGACAAAGGCCGTGACAAATTTGAATTTTGAAATTTGTTACGACCTTTGTCACGGATACGTCTGTGACAAAGCGTTAATATAAAACCAACACTTAATGAATTTTTCATCCCCACGCTTCAAAAAACCCTAAACTGCTTCAGTCTCAGCTTTCTCCCTTCTCACAACCTACTTCCTCCGACCTCAGCCGCTGTCCACCCCCGCTCTCCGCCGTCCATCGCCGGTCGGCGTCGTTCGAAGCCGCCGCCGTTCCTCTCCGTTCCTCGCCGTTTTTGCCTTCTTCATCAAGGTTATTTATCTGATTTTTTTGTTATTTTTCATTCGTATGTTTAATAATATTTGATATAAATGTTTTAAAATGCCAAAGAAATGCATGTTTTTATTATTATTGTTCAACTTCCGTTTGCATCCGCTTTTTGTTGAATTTATATAATACTTCTCACAGTCCATTATTTAAATGCATGATCTATTTGTTTATATGTTTATATACTCAAATGCATACCAAAATATGATCAGTTATCTTAAATGATTATTAATATACTCGGTTATTATATGCTCTTTTAAAATGCATACTCAATTTTTTCCCGTTTTTAAGTTTGATGCATGCTCTAATGACTTAAATGTGCATGCTCTATTTCTTGAATTTTTTCTACATGAACTTGTTGAATAAATGCATGCTCATACCTTATACATGAATTACTTGATTTAAATTGATGCTCTATAAATTAATGCATTCTCTATTTGGTTTATTTATTGTAATGGTCTTATTTTTTGACAAATATTTTATGATTCAATATTATTAGAACTTTAATTTTCAGACATTTTATATGAAGTTATAAAATTTTTGGACATTCATATATTGAAGTTATAAATATCCGAGTATATGAAGTTATAAAAAGTTAATTGAAGTATAAAATTTTGAAGTATAAATTTTTCATACATTTTATATGAAGTTATAAAAAATTAATTTAAAAAAAATCTGGCCCCTCATATTAAACTTATACACAGTTTAATATGATACATATGCGATTCCAACATCAAACATTTTAAAAAATTCGCCCCCCTCATGATAAACTTGTAAAAAAAATTAACATGTTAAATTTGTAATCAATTAATAGTCCATTTTTTCCTCAAAATTAATACTAAAAATATATATTTATCGAACATTGATTATTCTAAAAATTAATACAGAAAAATACACTGTTTTTTTATAAGAACAACAATCTTTTTTTCAAAAAAAAACTGTATTTTATTATCACAATAGACGATACTTAAAAAAAGAATATACTGATTTTTCTATAAACTTTTAAAAAGTACATATGAAAAACAGTATGAAAAACAGTAACAATATAATTATTAAGAATATACTGTTTATAAAAGTTTTTGCACAAAATTTTAAGAATATACGGTTTAGAAAAGTTTTGTATAATTAATACTTTTAAAAAGAATATACTGATTTTTCTAAAAAAAATTCAAAAGTACATATGAAAAAGAGTATGAAAAATAGTATTTAAAATCATTACTTTTTTAATTAAAACAGTATGAAAAAATCACTAATAAAAACATTTTTGAAAATACATATGAAAAACAGTATTTACTGAAAATACTTTTTTCATATTACAATACATTGATTATTCTAAATATTAATACAAAAAATACACTATTTTTTGTTAGGACAACAATCTGTTTTTCTAAAAACAAAACTGTTTTAAAAATTAATACGAAAAATTAATACAAAAAAATTAATACAAAAAGAGAAAGATTTTTTTAATACCAAAAATAAACTTTTTTAAAAATCAATACCAAAAATGAATACCAAAAAAAATGTTTCTAAAAATTAATACAAAAAGAGAGATTATTTCTAAAAACTATTACAATAGTGTGTTTATTTCTAAAAAACTGTTTCTAAAAATTAATACCAAAAGTAAACTGTTTCTAAAAAAAATAAACTGTTTCTAAAAAAAAAGTTTCCAAAAAAATAAATTGTTTCTAAAAAAATTGTATTAAAATTAATTCAAAAAAATAAATTGTTTCTAAAAATTATTATCACACTAATATTATCACACTAATAAATCATTTTAGACGAGTGATCCTTCTCGGCAATCTCACCGTTTCCGTCGCGGAGGTTCGCATTCACGACGCCCCCGACTACACCCATTCCTGACATCAATGGTGATGCCAATGATGATGTCGGATAGTCCAAACACCTCCTTCCCAGCAATCCGATGCTCATGGAAGCACCTCTCATGTTCGTTCGAGACCCCTCAACCTCCCGCGGAGGTGCGAGTGGCTCTCGCCCTCCTCTCGTCCCCTTTAATCGAATGGAGCCTGTTTGTCCCTGTTTATAGATTACAACAATATATCGATACACAAAGATGAGAATAACAGAAAGATAAATGTTCTGGAGATCCTTAAACTCGTCTTTGATGTATCGTGAACTTCTACAGTAAGAATGATAAGCTCTGAGGCTGTTAAGATCGAATGCAAAAGTTAACGCAAACCTGAGCCTTAAGTGCCTTTTTATATGCGCAGGCCAGGTTTGCGTAAAGGCTTTACGCCAGATATGGTCCTGACATTTTGGCCCCCTATTTTTTACTATGCTAATAAATACAGAGTATAAATACATTACAGGCATAGTAAAGACAAGATTATTACAAGACATGTGACAAACTTGATTCACTATAAATATTCTTCAACAATCTCCCCCTTTGTGTTCAAGTGCCGTCTTGTTTTCTTTCTCAGCTCTAAAGTAGCTTTTCCTGAGGTTTAATGCGTGCTCATAATGTCCGAGGATGTTTCTCTTTTCTAAGCATTCATCAATTGCTTTCAGAATCAAAGTCAGCACTTCATGCTCCTTTTGAGTATATGAGGGTGCATCCTCAAGTCTTTTGTCAAGCTCTTCCTTTGTTTTTTGTAGCTTCTCTTGAATGTTTTTCAACGTCCCATCACATAATTTGTGGATCTCTTCAACCACCATCAGACGTTTTTCATCCTTGTGGTTCATATAGACTACTGCAGGTGGAGTGAAGAAGATGTGGTATGCAGGGAAGTCCTCAAGCTCTGGACCATACAGTTTTGGCTGAGATAGATTCGCTTTTGGGATATTATTCTCTAGATCCATTTGGAAGTCATGGGAAGCGTTGACTCGGACTTGTCTCAACATGAACCGCTTGATTTCTTCAAAGCCTTCTTTGTAAGTTCGATTGCTGCTGACCGGTAGGTATCTGTATGCCATAAACATCCCATAAATATCATCCATTTTGAGCATTATGAAGTCATTTTCTTGGCATACAAATTCACTACTGTCAGTGCGCTGGACTTTGTAGGAGTAAAATTTGATTGTATGATGATCTTCGGCTTTGACTTGTAGTATTGCATGAACAGGATGTGTACTAGACTTCAGATCTTTTTCCAAAAGTTGTCATTGAGACCCTGAAGATCTATGAAGTAGCATGTGAAGGCGACCTCCTGCTTCTTTTCCTTTCAGATGTGTAAGTCCACGCATCCTCAGTTCTCTTAAAGGCCTGACTTTCTCCGGTTTACGCCAAACACACTTTCTGAGTTCCTCTTGGAAGGGAGCTTTGATTCTAACGTTCTCCCAAGGTTTCTCAATCGTGGGAAGTCGTCCCGCCGTTTGTCTGATTATTGATTCCAGTTCCTTGGGAGTTTCTTTATAATTTTTCCCTTCTCTGAGTTCCTCTTCATCAAGCCGAATGATATCTGCTGCACATTTGGCGATTAGTTCTCGCAAGTACCAGCTCCGCTGCATGTCCCCAGTTTCTTTGTCACTACGAATTTGATCCCACTCCGTCCATTTCTTAGGCCACTTGTCATGTGCAATGATATTTTCAAGCTCATCGTGCATTGCCTCTGATGAAGGAGTGGTAGGAGCTGGTTGACTTGGTGGTGTCGGGGACCTGTACTCTCGAACACCGGGATCACAAGGATTTCTCGTTGTCATCAGTTCTGAACTATGTTCTTACTGATGGCCTGATTGTGAGGATGTACCAGAGGTAACATCAACAGGACTTCCATCCCCTCCTCGAATAATATCTCTCGGAGATACGCCTCGGGATGTTTCGTCTAGCTCGACAAGGCTAGATACGTTGGCTAGGTTACGGTTTTGGGTGGAAGCGGGTGGTTGTTGGTTGGTTGAGGATTCGGATTGATCGGGCTATGGTGGATGGCTGGTGGAAGCGGCTTGCTCAAGTGTTCTGATGAGCTGGAATTTGTACTTCATTTTTGTATTATTTTATCACAATTCTATGCTTATTATTTGCTTAATTGAGAGGTTTGAGTTATGTTTTATAATAAAAATGATTTTTGCAGGTAAGGATTTCACTTTAAAGATTTGAGGATATTTTGAGCTGAACTTGAGAAGATGATAAATAAAATGATGGATCACTAAGTGGACCTAAAGTCCAAGGGCTCACTTAAAAAAAAGATTGCTTCTCTTGAGTGATGTACAGCAACCCAAATCCAAGAAAGAGGAAAAGAATAGTCCAAGCAAAAAAAAGCTGGAGAGAGTTTAGGGGTCTCGGCTATTTTTTTGGTCGGCTCTATCTCAACGCCAAGAAGGATTCTGGCGGCGAAACCGGAAGAGGAGAATAAGCCGGACTGGCAGCAGCGACGCAGAGGATTCTAGCAGCGAAGGGTAGAGCCAGTGCCGAAGGAGAAGGGTTACGGACGACGCACAATTCTTCTGGTTTTGAGGCTGCAAAATTCTGGAGGAAGGAATCACTCACCGTTCCAGAAATTGCTGGTTTGAGTCAGCCGCAATCCCTCATGTTCTTGACTTGTACTCTATTTAATTATTTGAGTATTGGCACAATCCTTTGATTTCTTTATTGTTAAGATGAACGCTTTATTTCCTACTATTTTACTAGTTTTCTATTTCAGTATGAGTAGCTAAATTTTTAAGCGTGGATTACGATGAAGTTGCTATGATTTAGTATAAATTGTGATTTTAGTTACGTCAATTGATTGAGTTTTATCCATTGTTCTTATTTGCTTAATTGATTATGTTAATTTCTGGCCAACTTTAATATGATTAATTAAGTTATTTGAGTGGATTAATAGAGTACATGTCATGCCTATTAGTTTGAGCTCTTTTGGATAAAAGAATAGATAATTTAGTTGTCTTGTTAGGTTATCTATTTGGTTCTTAAATCGGGTTTTCGTAGTTCTTTTGTGACTAATGGATTTTAACTATTGAATTAATAATTTCTAATTGATTAATAGTTAAAATACGTGACTTATTCTGGACGCCATACGGAATAGTCATATTTTTTGTCTAGAACGAACCCTCAATTTCAATTGATTAACTAAATCACAAATACTAAAAATTAGTGACATATTCATAATTCTGGACTATCTTTTCTTTTGCTAAATTCTCAATCGTTTTCCCGTTAGTTGTTAAATCATTTTATTTTCATTCATTTAAATTCCTTGCATCCATTTTAATTTTAGATTTACTTTTCAGTTTCAAATCAAACAAATTCAAAATTCATTTTTTTGTTAGATTATTTCATTTTTATTTTTATTAATAGTTTTCCAATTACTTAGTTGCATTTTCCCCGTGGATTCGACCCTTACTTGAGCACTGTACTACCGCGATTCGTGCACTTGCAAGGACTTATAAATTGTCTATCAATTTTTGGCGCCATTGCCGGGGAATTTGTTTAACTAGTTTTTGGAAAATTATTAATTTAGTTTTATTTTAGTTAGTTGTGTTTGTTTTTCTTTTTTTCGTTTTTTTGTTGTATGCTTGGTCGCAGGTCACTTAATGCAGATTTGATCCCGCTGAACGACCACGTAGACTTGATTGGCAAAAGAATAAAAAGGAGGCTCCAATTTACTCATAATCCAAAAACGAGTGACGCGCAACTAATGAAAGAGTTCGGGAGACCAACCGTAGGTGCCTCCCCGTCCTGCATTGTACTGAGTGAGGCTGCCTGGAATTATGATCTCAAGACGGTTCACTTTAACCAATTTCCATCTTTCCATGGCCTTGCTTCTGAGGATGCGCTGATTTTTATTCGAGATTTCTATGGCATCATCCAAATTTTCCCTTTGCAAGGAGTGACTGAAGAGGAGCTGAGAATGAGGTGTTTCCCATACACTCTCAAAGATGTTGTGAAGACATGGTTTATGTCTTTAACACCGGGCTCTCTGCGCACTTGGGCTGATGTCTACAACAAATTCATCGGGAAGTACTATTCGCAGTCTAGAACTTCAGAGTTAAGGAGAAAAATTGCAAATTTCACTCAAGCTGAAGGTGAACCATTCCATGAGGCGTGGGAGAGGTTTCAAATGCTGCTCACTCAATGTCCACACCACAGCTATTCACTAGCGCTCCAGAATCAGACATTCTACGATGGTTTGACACAAGGGAGCCAAGCTATTGTTGACAACGCAGCTGGAGGAGCAATGGGAGAGAAGACTGCAGAACAAACTTCAGGGCTTTTCGGGATGTTGGGAGCCAATTCACAAGAGAAGAGTGTGCGGGGCAAGACTCCAGGAATTTATGAAGTGGGAGTTGGGACAGAATTAGCCATCCAGATATCTGAGCTATCCAAGCAATTCGTATCGTATATTAACCAAAAGCAAAATGCAAATTCGTATAATTACAAAGAAATGTAATTACAATCTGAATAGATTTATAGATAACTTCTAGTAGAACTGCATAACCCAAAGGCAAAACAACGTAAAGTATATCTTTTGCCACCAACACTTGGAGTTTCTATCGGTCCAAATAAATCCATGTGGATTAGATTTAGAGGACTTGTAGAAAGATCTCCAGCAATGGGTTTGAAGGAGTTCTTCACTTGTTTTCCTTTCTGGCATGCACTGCACAAGTTCTCCTTCTTGTACACAATGTTGGGCAGTCCATCAACAATGTGATCCCTTGATAGCTTGTTGATTGTCTTGAAATTCAAGTGACTCAGCTTCTTGTGCCATTCCCAGCTAAGTTTTGAATCTCCTTTGGCTATCAGGCAAATTCCTTCTTTTGCAGTAGACCAATCAACAACATATATGTTCCTTTTCCTGGTAGTTGTTAGAACCACTTCCTTAGTTGTCTCATGCTTGATAGAACAACCTTCTTTGGAGAATTCAACTGTGTAGCCTTTGTCATAGAATTGACTAGCACTCACCAAGTTGAATTTCAGGCCTTTAACATATGAGACATCATCAATGATTATCTAGTTCTTGATCAGCTTGCTTTTTCCTTTTGTTTGGCCTTCTTTATCATTTCCACCAAAAGTGACCTTTGGCCCTTTGTATCTCTGGAACTCTGTTAGGCAACTCTTATCACCTGTCATGTGCCTGGAGCATCCACTATAAATATAACAATCTTGCTCAGAGATTGCTCCAGCACACAGTTCCTGCATTAATAAAAGGAAGATTTAGGTACCCAAGCAATGTTGGGTCCTAGGGGGTTATGCAGTCTTGACAGCCGATACCACTTTGGTCTCATCAAGTGAAACCTTGGTGGGTGGTACCCATTGTCCACCTGGTAGTCATAGTAAACGGAAGTGTGATTCACTTTTGGCAGATGCTTGTGAGGATCATACTTCCTGTTTACGTACTTCTGCATAACCATTTTGGTTGGGTAGAAGTCCCATATACTATCAAGAGCAAAGGGGCGGTTAGCTTTGGGCTTCTGAGGTTGACCAGCCAACCTCTTCTGCCTGAAGTTAACTTTCTCTTGATATTTACTAAATCAACCGTGTTACGGAGATTGACTTGAGTCCTGAAGAAGAATTGTGTATATTTACGATAGGAACCCAACACAACTCGTATTTCAGCATGCCCATAATGTATTCAAAATTTAAGCCAATCTCCGTAACACGGTTGATTTAGTAAACCTGAAGAGTATGCACCTGAGTGAAATACGTATATCTTTGTTTCTATTAATAATTTGGACTTGAGTCCTGAAGAAGAATTGTGTATATTTACGATAGGAACCCAACGCAACTCGTATTTCAGAATTCCCATAATGTATTCACAATTTAAGCCAATCTCCATAACACGGTTGATTTAGTAAACCTGAAGAGTATGCACCTGAGTGAAACACGTATATCTTTGTTTCTATTAATAATTTGGACTTGAGTCCTGAAGAAGAATTGTGTATATTTACGATAGGAACCCAACACAACTCGTATTTCAGCATGCCCATAATGTATTCAAAATTTAAGCCAATCTCTGTAACACGGTTGATTTAGTAAACCTGAAGAGTATGCACCCGAGTGAAAGACGTATATCTTGGTTTCTATTAATAATTTGGACGTGAGTCCTGAAGATGAATTGTGTATATTTACGATACGAACTCAACGCAACTCGTATTTCAGCATTCCCATAATGTATTCACAATTTAAGCCAATCTCTGTAACACGGTTGATTTAGGAAACCTCAAGAGTATGCACCTGAGTGAAAGACGTATATCATTGTTTCTATTAATAATTTGGACTTGAGTCCTGAAGAAGAATTGTGTATATTTATGATAAAACCCAACACAACTCGTATTTCAGCATTCCCATAATGTATTCACAATTTAAGCGAATCTCCGTAACACGGTTGATTTAGTAAACCTGAAGAGTATGCACCTGAGTGAAAGACGTATATCTTGGTTTCTATTAATAATTTGTACTTGAGTCCTGAAGAAGAATTGTGTATATTTATGATAGGAACCCAACACAACTTGTATATCAGCATGCCCATAATGTATTCAAAATTTAAGCCAATCTGCGTAACACGGTTGATTTAGTAAACCTGAAGAGTATGCACCTGAGTGAAAGACGTATATCTTTGTTTCTATTAATAATTTAAACTTGAGTCCTGAAAAAGAATTGTGTATATTTACGATAGGAACCCAACGCAACCCGTATTTTAGCATTCCCATAATGTATTCACAATTTAAGCCAATCTCCGTAACACGGTTGATTTAGTAAACCTGAAGAGTATGCACCTGAGTGAAAGACGTATATCTTTGTTTCTATTAATATATTGGACTTGAGTCCTCAAGAAGAATTGTGTATATTTACGATAGAAACCCAACGCAACTCGTATTTCAGCATTCCCATAATGTATTCACAGTTTAAGCCAATCTCCGTAACACGGTTGATTTAGTAAACCTGAAGAGTATGCACCTGACTGAAAGACTTATATCTTTCTTTCTATTAATAATTTGGTCTTGAGTCCTGAAGAAGAATTATGTATATTTACGATCGGAACCCAACGCAACTCGTATTTAGCATGCCCATAACGTATTCAAAATTTAAGCCAATCTCCGTAACACGGTTAATTTAGTAAACCTGAAGAGTATGCACCTGAGTGAAAGACGTATACCTTTGTTTCTATTAATAATTTGGACTTGAGTACTGAATAAGAATTGTGTATATTTACGATAAGAACCCAACGCAACTCGTATTTCAGCATTCCCATAATGTATTCACAATTTAAGCCAATCTCTGTAACACGGTTGATTTAGTAACCCTGAAGAGTATGCACCTGAGTGAAAGACGTATATCTTTGTTTCTATTAATAATTTGGACTTGAGTCCGGAATAAGAATTGTGTATATTTACGATAAGAACCCAACGCAACTCGTATTTCAGCATTCCCAAAATGTATTCACAATTCAAGCCAATCTCCGTAACACGGTTGATTTAGTAACCCTGAAGAGTATGCACCTGAGTGAAAGACGTATATCTTTGTTTCTATTAATAATTTGGACTTGAGTCCTGAAGAAGAATGGTGTATATTTATGATAGAAACCCAACACAACTCGTATTTCAGCATTCCCATAATGTATTCACAATTTAAGCCAATCTCCGTAACACAGTTGATTTAGTAAACCTGAAGAGTATGCACCTGAGTGAAAGACGTATATCTTTATTTCTAATAAGAATTTGGACTTGAGTCCTGAAGAAGAATTGTGTATATTTACGATAGGAACCCAACGCAACTCGTATTTCAGCATGCCCATAATGTATTCAAAATTTAAGCCAATCTCCGTAACACGGTTGATTTAGTAAACCTGAAGAGTATGCACCTGATTGAAAGACGTGTATCTTTGTTTATATTAATAATTTGGACTTGAGTCCTGAAGAAGAATTGTGTATATTTACAATAGGAACCCAACACAACTCGTATTTCAGCATTCCCATAATGTATTCACAATTTAATCCAATCTCTGTAACACGGTTGATTTAGTAAACCTGAAGAGTATGCACTTGAGTGAAAGACGTATATCTTTGTTTCTATTAATAATTTGGACTTGAGTTCTGAAGAAGAATTGTGTATATTTACGATAGAAACCCAACGCAACTCGTATTTTAGCATTCCCATAATGTATTCACAATTTAAGCCAATCTTCGTAACACGGTGGATTTAGTAAACCTGAAGAGTATGCACCTGAGTGAAAGACTTATATGTTTGTTTCTATTAATAATTTTGACTTGAGTCCTGAAGAAGAATTGTGTGTATTTATGATAGGAACCCAACGTAACTCGTATTTCAGAATGCCCATAATATATTCAAAATTTAAGCCAATCTCCGTAACACGGTTGATTTAGTAAACCTGAAGAGTATGCACCTGAGTGAAAGACGTATATCTTTGTTTCTATTAATAATTTAGACTTGAGTGCTGAAGAAGGATTGTGTATATTTACGATAGGAACCCAACGCAACTCGTATTTCAGCATTCCCATAATGTATTCACAATTTAAGCCAATCTCCGTAACACGGTTGATTTAGTAAACCTGAAGAGTATGCACCTGAGTGAAAGACGTATATCTGATGGTCCTGGATAGGGTAAAAGTCTAGAGGGGGGTGAATAGACTTTTAAATCTTATTCGACTTTTAAAAGTTTTCCCTCTAAAAGAGTTAATCTATAAACTTTTGAGAGATTTATAGATGCACAGCGGAAGTCTTACCCTTTATGTAATGAGTGTTTAGCCACTTTCTAACTTGGAGAGTATTTGGCTTAGAATGCTAGCAGTTGGCTTAGTAGGTGGCTAAGTAGAAGGGAACTGCTCAGGCAACTGCTCAGGAAATGCAGAGTATATGATGAAGGTAAGGATAGTTGATTGATGAGTATGGTAAGACCTTTTAGTAAGTATGCTTAAGTGAAAAGAAACTATAGTTTTTTGCTGAAGCAGTGGACTCGGCAGTTGGGTGAATTTGAGGGAACTGCTGAGGCACCTGCTTGGGTCAAAAGCTTATTGGGTTAAGCAAACTTCTTGATGATGTAGTAACAATCTGGTGATGTTTGAGATGTTGACAAGAAGCAAGTATATATGAGCAGAGGGCTCAGCAGTTGGGTGGATTCCAGGGAACTGCTGAGGCACCTGCTATGAGTTTCTTGAAATATAAGAATAGGCCTTTTGGTGATATTGGTGCACTTCTCTTGTATGAAAATGATCTCAAAGAAAGTAAGTAATTAAGCAGTAGGATAAGCAGTTGAGTCAGTTAAGACAGTTGCTTAGGATTCTGCTCGCAAACTTCAATCTTTTTGTTAGAGGTGCTAAGTGTGTGGTTTCTTGAATGAAAGTAAATCAACACACAGTATATACTGCTTCAGAGGTGGTGTAATCCTCCTACGTCCAGTCCCACCCTCTTTCAGATGGATTTCACTAAAGTATTAAACCCAATACACTTAGTGCCAATCTAGCCTTTACAACACTTAGGCCTAGATTGAAGGTTTTTCACGATGAGTATAGCACCACTCAAAGTTACTCAGTCCTTAGACTTTTCTATAATGAACCAGTGGGGATCAAAAGGTACTCTATCTATCTACTTACACTGTAGGATCCGAACAACTGTTCTCCTAAGTGTTTACAATAATATGTGATTTGTTATAAGAAAAGTTCTAACCTCCAACTAGGAACTAAACTTCTATGATTTAGCAATGAAAAGCTT